TTAATATTAAGAGGCAAGGGGTTCCAGTTGCTGCCATGCTATAAGATTGATTTCTCGCATGTGTGGAATATTATGTGGCACTTGTAAAAGTGCCAGTTCCACAGAACACAGCAATCTAGTGGGCCCATATAGGGTAAGGCAATTGTTGCCTTGCCTGCCCTAGGCAATTTGGCAGGTTATCTGAAAGACCCCAGTGCAGGAGAATGTTTGCAAGGCAAGTGGAAGAGGTTGCACGAAGTTGTGGAGGTCTAATGATGAGCAGGGTTAGGAAATCTGTGCCCTTCCAGCTATTGTTGGAAAGAGAATCCTATCATCCTTGCACACTGGCCATGTTGCTGGGACTGATGAGAGTCCAACAATAGCCAGAGGGAGCCTTGCACTAGGGACCAGGAGAGTGTGGCATTTATGACCAAAGGCTTTGATAAAGTGTGGGATGGATATAGGAAGGAACCTTGTCCCGCCTGGCACTAATTCTGTTTGCCATTTCCAACTTAGGCAGAACTACCCTGTCAGGACCTTCTCTCTGTACAGCAGGATAGCATCTTATGTGGGGGTTCAGTTCCAAGGGCTCTGCATATATGTAAAATCAGGATGGCTTCTGTAATTCCAGGGATGACCCAGGAAAATCAGGATACTTGAAGGGTATGTAAGATGTGATCATACCGAACACAAGTGTGTCTGGCATGTAAGTAGCACTTGCAAAGAGCTGTACAGAGAATTCAAAATTCAGAGTCTTGCTGGCCTTATTAGGCCTGCAGGTTAAAGATTCCCCAAACCCTCGGCTATAGTAGTTCTTGCACTTGAAAACTGCTGCTAAAAGCATGCCTCTGGGAAATGAGTCATGTTTCCTTACTCTTGATTAGAAACACAGGAGGCTGCTTTATACCAAGTCAGACCGTTGGTCCATCGCAGTATTATCTGCACTGACTGGCAGTGGTTCTCCAGGGTTTTAGGGAGGGGGTCCCTCCCTACACTACCTGGAGATGCTGGGGATTGGATCAGGAGCCTTTCCTGCCGCTGAGCCAAGACCCTTCCACTAATCTGATATGCTGAGGAAATATAATTCAATTCCAACATGCTTAGTTTTAGCAAGGGGGACAGCTTGGGGGTGGATTCCCCCCACCCACCCACCCACTGGATGGTCAAAGTTCCCCGGGAGAAAAATGTGAATATTTATTTGAACTTCAATTCTATCAGATCCATTTCCATGCAACTGTTTTTCTATTTATTTAATCATGCAGGGGAGAAACACGGACATTCTCTCCAACTGCAAGGACCCTCTCACAAGGGGCAACATGTTGAGAAACCGCTGGCAATTTGCATGAAAGAGACAGGGACATGGGCTGTATTGGCTAATTGCTCCTATTCATTCCAGGGCAACCTTTTCTTGATTATGGGGCTGGATATTGTTGTTGTTGTTGTTGTTGTTGCCTGATTCATTTCTTTTATCACTACAGCAGTCTCTTAGAAGCTGCCCGGGGCCAAACTAAAGGTAGTGTGTGAGATATGTGTGGATGTTTTCACCCACTTTAATCCAGTTCCATGTTTGAGTGGAACAGCAAATATGGGGGAGAGGAGGTGCATCACTCTCTCTCAGTTGTTCAGCAATTTTAAAACACCCCTAGCTTCTTTTCTCCCCATAGGAGATAAAGATTCTAGATCAACATATTTTTTCTTCCACAAAGAGAAAAGAGGGCTGAGGAGGGGGATTCATACCAGGCATAAAACATGCAGGAAAAATATTATGTATTGCTCTCTCTACCAGAGCTCCTTGTAGCTGTATTGAAGTGGAAATCAACATCAGGGCAGACTTTATAGAACCCCTGTGTCATGTTCAGTCTGGTTATTAGAGAGCTGAGTCAGGAATGTATTTGGAAAAGTAAACAACACTATTTTTTAGTAACTCTTTTTATTGCATCGTTGTGCATCCATAAGGACCTGCTAACTGGGTCCAATTCAAAGCAATTAAATTAGAATCAAAACCTTGGGCTCAAGTATGCCCAGTGCTAACAAAATCTGCAGAGGCTTCCAGATTTTTATCAGGCCCACTAATTCCTCAAAGTTGTGTCCTATTCCCTCCCTGCAGGGTGCTTTACCTTACCATGTTAGAAGAGCAAACAGTCATTTAAAGTAATTTTTCTATACCCTAAATCCTAATATGGGCATTTCATGCTTAGCTTGCTAGCATTGGAACCAAACAGATGGCAATTAAGATCCACCTAGAAATCTCAGAGCCAAAACGTGCTAGCAGGTGCCATGGAATGAGTGCCTAGAACAGCTACTTGGTTTCCCCCAGAGTAGAATCTAGAGCAAGGATGGGGAAATTTTGGGGCCCATCCAAAAGTGGGCACAGCAACACAATTTTTATATTTTGTACTGTAGGTTAGTGCCTACACACACTTGCACACCCCTCTCTATCCTCCATTCAGGCAAGCAAGAGGCATTATCGGAGTTTAAGGACACATCCCAGCCAAACCTCAAAGAGGTTGCAAAGCAGGGCCAGTGAGGGTGTGGCCTGAGGAGAAGGGGTGGTGTGGGGAGAGTCCCAAGGGCCAGATGGGGAGATTTGGAGAGCCACATTCGAAAACCAGGCTGGAGGTTCCTCACCTCTGCCTTAGAGAAAACTTAGCAAGGGAGAAAGGAGGTGGCAATTGTAGCAGTGATATGGTGTATAATGGCATAAGAGCAAGTAAAAACAAAAGAAGGGCCAATGGCCCATCTAGTCCTTATCTGTCTGTCTGTCTGTCTGTCTGTCTGTCTGTCTGTCTGTCTTGCTTGTGAGTTTCCCATTGCGGCATCTGGCTGACCAGGTGCTGGACTCGGACACAGTGCTTTAAAGCACAAACCTGTGTCTAGAAACGCAGCACAAAAGCAAGTCTAGATGAGACCTCAGTTCACCACTAACACACTAATATTGTGTCAATACTATATTGCAGACTATACCCATAATAAAGCACCAGTCTGGAGGGGCTGTAGTGCATCAGCAGTGGGCTTATTCTGCATTAGTTTACTCTGCAATGTTACCACAATAATGCTATCACAGGACTGATGGGAAATAAAGCCGTGTGATCACCCCAAAACTTTTTACAGCATTGAAAACAGGATTGCATGTGACCATCCCAACAGCACCATAGGCAAAAATAATCATGAATGCACAATGAAAAGGACATTTGGACTCTGAAGAGGCCCTCAGAGCTGGGTGATACATTGCAACATTTTATTGTAGGCCCCAGTTATTAATAGCAACTCACTCCTTAAATGTTTGAGCCTCTTTTATTTAAATGTTTGGGTCAGAAGGAATGCCCCTTCTGTTGTTTGTTTGTATATATGTGTGTGTTTAATTGTTTAAAACCATCAGGCGTAAATATTTGACTGTGTATATCTCCAAAGGCACTTCCCAGATGCTATCAAGCATCCTGCTTGGATTTGGAAGGATGAGCAGGAATGGCCTATTTTAACACTAAAAGATGAAAATGTAGATTACTGAGACTATAATAAAAGTACTGTATAGGATAAATATAGCCAGAGCTTTGGATATTTGTAGTCTCCAATGTTTTAGTAATATATAGAACATTATTTATTTTCGTTGTTGTTTAGTCGTGTCCGACTCTTCGTGACCCCATGGACCAGAGCACGCCAGGCACTCCTGTCTTCCACTGCCTCCCGCAGTGGTCAAAATAATTTACTATACACATTAAATTAAGATAGTGTTGCGTGCCACCCCAATTTCCAAGCAGTGCAAGATTCCAAGTGTTCCAAGCACTTACCTGGGGTTTGTGTTTCCTTTTGAGAATGAGGGACAGTGGAGACTCTGGTGTCTTTATGATATATGGTTTATTTACACATACTGTATATACCTGAGCCTATGATGGAGAGGTCCACAGCATCAACACTCCAAGAGGGTTTTGTTTCCCCCACAGCCACAAACTTGGATTCAAACAGAAATCAACCATTGTGTTTTCTGGCTTGCTGCCTTTACCTATCTGCAACTTTCCCCCCTCCAGGTCACACTCATTTGACATCTGGCACAGAGCCCCCTCTCCTTGCTTTCTTAATGGCCCATCGCCTTTCCTTTGTTTTCTAAATGGCTCATCACCCTAGGTGACTGCCTTATCAGGAAACTAGCCTGTCTTATATTTTAACACTTGCTGGATCCAAGAGTTCAGGAGGTTTGATTACAAATTCTAGTGCTTATTGAATACAGGAATTTAGGAGAGTATGGCATCCCACAACTCATAATAGTATTTTGGAATGTGGGGAAAATATGCCTTGAAGAATCTGATGGACTACACTCTTTCTGGTGGAAGAGTTAGAATACCAGAGATAAAAGATCAAGGATCACCACTGTTTGCTTCAATATCATACAGATTAGGTGCATGGCTGCAGGTACACAAGGAAATCATAAATTTAGAAGTCCAAGTCTGAGCATTTGATATTATAATTGTCCTCTTTTAAGGTCCTCCTTTCTAATCACATCTTATTCTTATGAATACTGAAGTTACATAATTGTGGAAGGGTCAGAGCACAGCGCAAGAGCGCATGCTTTGCATGCAGAGGTCCTGGGTTCAATCCCTGGCATCCCGAGCTGGGAAAGACTTCTGCCTAAAAGCCTGGAGAGCAATTGCCTGTCCATGTCAACACTGAGCTAGAAAGACTGTTAACCTGACTGTGTAGAAGGCAGTTTTCTATATTCCTAGAATCAAACCACATCATATATTTAAGCAGTCTTATACCACTCAGTAATGTCTACCCTGACTGGCAGCAGGACTCTAGCTCTACCTGGAGAGGCTGAGTGTTGAACCTGGGATACTTTACCACTGACCTACTATAGCACTCCCCCAAACAGAGAGTACAATTTCATAAAAACAGCCCATCTAGCTCAGTATTGTTGACTAACTGGCAGTGGCTCTATAGCACTTCTGGGGATTGAACCTGAATTTTAGGTCCCCCACTCCCACCCCTGGTTTATATTGTATTTATTTATTTTAATGATTTCTTACCTGCCCTTCACCACAATGTCCCAGGACAAGCTGCAGCTGTGTTAAAATCCAAATAGAATATTAAAATCCAATGAAATGACGTAAATCAAACCAAGTAATGTACATCAGACAACAAAGGAAGTAGTTGGTTTTGGTGTTTTTAAACGTTTGGATTGTATTTCGTATTTTTAATAAGTTCCAGATGACTTAATTGTTTAATACGTTCTAGAGGGCAATATAATAAATACTTCCCACCCACCCCCACATCAGCATGAAAATGGACAAATGCTGCATCGATATCATTCACTTTTGCTCCACCCCCCAAAAAAAACTACCCAAACAGTTTTGGGTAAATGATGGTGGTGCAGTGAGGAAATATTGACTTGAAGCAATACCTGGTGGCCAAAGGAGGCTGGGCCTAGGGCCCTGCCGTGGAAGGTTTTCTGTGTCCGCTCTCCTGCTGGGCCTTAACTTCATTCCACCTTCCCATTTCCATTTCCAGGGACTGGAAATTGCACTCTCCCCAGACTTGCTTCTCTTCACCATCTGAAACCAGCCAATCTGCCCTTTTGAACTCCCAGCCAAGAGTCTCCAGGGCAGAAACGAAACACAGGCAGGAGCCACAGGCAGGTGGCCATTGAGCCTTTGGCTGGGGCAGCTCGTCCCTCTGAGGTGCCCCTTTTGCCTCCCCTGCCCCCCTCCCACCGCCTCCATTCCTGTCAGTCAAGGCAGGAGAATTTACCTAGCATGTGAGAGGAACGAAGGATGTGGAGGCGGGGCTATGGTCGCCCATAGCCAATCGCAACGCAGGCTGTGAGCACGTGCAGTGCCGCTTCTTACCTGAGCAGCAAGTTCTCAGGAGGAGGCAGGCAGGCAGCCTTGTTGCTGTCCTCAGAGGAGCCTGCAGGGCTGCCAGTAGCATCACCCTGGCTTGTTTCTGAGAACAGTCGCCATCATCATCAACAACATCATCACTGAGAGCATTAAATAGGAGTAAACACCATTTAACTCAACAGGACTTCTGAGTAGGCTTGGTTAGGGCTATAAGTAGCATTAAATAGGTACATTCATGAAAAATTATGCCTTTATGATTTATTAAAATAGTTATAGACTGCCCCCTCATACAAAATAACAGGGCAGCATACAACAAAAATTTACAGAAAGTTTAAACTACCATTAAAAACAATACAGAATATTCATTAAACGACTGGGTCATCATATCAGTTTAAACCACTGACTATTAATTAATGGCTATTAATTAATTGGCACTATATAGAACCTCCAGGTTCAGAAACAATATATCTCAAAATGCCAGCTACTGAGGGTCAAGCTGTGGTGGAGGGTTGTTACCTTATTTATTTATTTATTTATTTATAGTTTAAATAATTTGTTAGTCACATAATGCAGGACAGTCTATGGTTTAAAAACATACAAAATAATTTGTTTCATGTCTTCCTTTGAGTTTATTGGGCAGATTGCTGGACTGGATCCTGGCCTTTCAGCTGAATTCCATTTGCAAAATAGCAGAAAGAAAAAGGGGGAAATTCCACGCATACAACCAGAGAATGGCTGAGAAACATTTGGTGTATTATCCTTGCTTATGAATAAAATAACGTACTATAAACATTGACTTGGTTCAATCGGTAAGGAAGGCTTCAGAGATTTGGCAGCTTCTCATTTTATATTGGAGTAAGATTAAACGGGTTGCAGGATGTAAGACAAGTAGTGTTGTTTATGATTTGGTGCTCTTTAAATATTGACTGGAATTGGTTTTGGTCTGTGTTGTTTATCATTTGACTTACTGTTCTTTTCTATTCAGTTAAGAACTTTAGAATGAAATATGACAGCAGTATAACCTTGGTGGTTCTTTCTTACAGTTTTAATATACACTTGGACATTGTTTGTTTATTTTTAAAATAATATGTATTTCTGCATGTGTGCGTGCGTATGCGCCCGCCCAGCCTCCCACATTTTTAAAGACAACTCAATAAAGATTTTGACTTGAAGAATCCTCCCAACCTCAAAAAGATGTTGTTTTGCCAGAGAAACATAATGGCTCAAATGTTTGCAGAAAGCGGAGCAGCCATCAAAGCGAGGCGGTTAAGAAAAACGTGGAGGAACTTTCCGTGGGTCACCCAACCCTCCTAGACCCATAATTCTTTAAGCCTGTTGCACTGGAAACAACTAGCGAAACAACGCAGGGAATGCTGTCTGGATTAATCGGGTATTATGTATGTTTAAATGAGAAGGATCAACCCAGCAAATATTCCAGCAAAAATATCAAGTTTGGACACATCCATATGGGAGGAAGAAAGTGGACAGCTAATTAATATTTGATATGTGGAGAAAGGCGGAAACCCAGAGCCAGCCAAGCTGGAGAATAATACGACTTTATTGATTTTGGATTACTCACCCGGGACGGATAAAATTAAACCTGAGGTTCCTAAGGGATATAGAGAAACATCCACTGCAGAAGAAAGCATTCTTCTTCGGCTCCAAAGTGCACACCCCAAGTTGTGAATTGATGCTTGCTCAGACCTTGTGTCTGAACAAACAGGAGGAGGCATAAATCAGCAGAGATGGTCGTTCCTGACTCAGAGCTGTTCCAAAGGTTGCTTGGGGTCCAAGCTGGAAGAATGCAAATTGTTCCTGGGATTTAGGATTATTGTTATTATTATGAAAAAAATCCTCGGTGCCTGCCCAGAATTAATATGGGAAAGCTGGAACTGGTGCCTTGATCCTCAGCCTGACCTGGGATAATATTTCTTATGTTGCTCAGAGTCTTACATCAGAAACACAAGGCTACTCACTTGAATGGTTAGATTAATCAACTAACGCTGTCACGAGGGCAGGGTTCAATTTGAATTGGTGAAGTCAGGTTTTGAACCAGGGTGTGGGGAAGAGTGCAGGTTCATTTCTGTTTCTTATATTTTTTGCTCTACGCACACATTTTGACCAGGCAGGTGGCAGGAAAGGAAGGGGTTAAGCAGCTTTTCTGCTTCCCCACCGCTGATATTCAGTAAAAGAAAATAATGATTGACCTCATTCATGTCTCACTGTACTGTTCAGACACCAATTCCTGCTTCATCTGTCTACCTAAATTCCACCACCTGAAGCAGCCTGCACCACCTTGCTCCATGGTAGGGCCAGCTCACTTCATGGCATGGAGAGAAGCCTGATCACCTGCTGTGTGGGGATCAAACTGATGTTTAAAGCACAGAAGGCAGAGTGTTAAGGAAACTTAGCAACCCTAGAAAAGACCAGCTTCTGCTCTAGACTCCCTGTTCACTTCATCTATGAGCACAGCTCATTATTCAAGACTCAACTAGGGACTTTTGGGCACTGCTCCAACCAACTCCTATTTCCACAAGGACAGAGGAGGGTCAGATTCCCTCTGGTTCCCTCTGGTCCCATGTCTCAATCTACACTCAGAGCTACCAAGGATGGGTGCGGTTAACAGGGGTTGGTTAGTTGCAGGATAAGGGAAGCCATTCCAAGACCTTCATTGTTTGACATACGGGAAGGACCATTGGCCAAAACTACTGGATGTTTTGTCTATGGCTCCCTCCCTTCCCACCCAACTGGGTCACTGGATAAACAACCTTTGAGCGTTTCAGATTTCGACAGAAAATAAGCGGAGGCCTACAGGGACAAAGCAAAATAATAAAGTGCCAACCCGATTGTTCGTTTTAAAGCAATTTGACAGAGTTTGGAGGTTTAGCCAACTCTTAACCTACCAAAAAAAATAAATGTATAGATTCTTTCCTAAGAATTCTTTTCTTTCAATTTTTGCACGTTGGAAGTTAAGCAGTTGTAGGCTCCCCCCCCCCCCGCCACCACCCCAAAATTCGCACACATTTACACTTGGCCTGCTTTAATTCAGATTATTGCTGCATCACAGTGCAATAGCTGCATAGTGGCTTGCTTTTCTCACTATAATTCAAGATTGCTTTACCCCATATGTGCCCACACAGCCACTTTGATCTGTGGCCTTGGCACTGTTACAGGCACCACATTATGTGTGTTCTGCAGTTGTAAGTAATTGATATTTTAGAGTGGCAGCACCTGCACTTTAGTACTCCCTGCTTGTTGAAATCTGGCAAGTATCTTTGCTGTACTGTACTCTTTTCAGCACCTGCTTAAAACATGGGGGGGGGGCTGTCCAGACACATAGATGTTGGTGTGTTTTAATCTCTTACTGTTAATTTTAATTTTCATTATTTTTATTACTTGCCTTTAACAGTTTTTTATTGGCAATTTTAATATTTCTTATAAACCCCTTAGAAGTTTTGTTACAATCAAGAGTTACATTAATTTTGTTAAATAAAAATAAATAAAGTGATGGGAAGTCTGCAAGTTTTTCTCAAGTTAATCAAAGAACTACAGCTTTCATAGAATCATAGAATCATAGAGTTGGAATAGACCACAAGGGCCATCGAGTCCAACCCCCTGCCAAGCAGGAAACACCATCAGAGCACTCCTGACATATGGTTGTCAAGCCTCTGCTTAAAGACCTCCAAAGAAAGAGACTCCACCACACTCCTTGGCAGCAAATTCCACTGTCGAACAGCTCTTACTGTCAGGAAGTTCTTCCTAACAGTAACATCTAAGCTTTCTTTCAGCTTAGATGGTCAGAGGATGATGCTACTTAATGCCAGGATTGAAGGTTCAAGGCCTGTTCTGGCTACTTAGAGTGAGGGAATTAGCTCAATTGGGTGAACACATCCTTAGCAGATTATCACTGCATTGACCATTGGCAGCCAATCTGTTTGACTCTGGACTGTATCCTGACTACTGGACTTCAGATTTGGCCTACTTGGATTGGCCCTGGACTGCATTTCCTAGATTTTTGACTTTGCATACTGACTTGCAGCCAGGTAGCTCAGGGGTTCAGGATACGAGGGAAGCACGCAGCAGTAGGTTTCCTTAATTTAGGAAAACGATTTCACATCCTAGTATGGACACTGGTCTGCAGACAAAGAAAAGCAATGCTGGTTGCTGGGTGAAAGGGATGGAGCAGAAAACTGCTTGACCCATAGAAACAAAAGACCTTAAGCTCTCCTGGATCAGGCCAATGGCCCATCTATTTCAGCATTCTGTTCTCATAGTGGTAAACAAGATGTCTATGGGGCGTTCATAAGCAGAACCTAAATGCAACAGCCATCTTCCCATTGCAGCTCTAAGCAAGTGAAGACCAAAGCATTTGGAGGACATCATGTTGGGGGAGGCTCTGGGATCTCAGAATTTGAGGCTTGCTGCATCTGCCGAGTAGATACCCATCATTTCAGTACTTGGTTGCAGTCGGAATTGTAGAATTGAGGGTCATCAAGTCCAACCCCCTGCAATGCAGGAAATCTCAACACACGGTCCCCATCCAATTTGAAGCCATTCTGGACCCTGCTTAGCTTTGCAAATTGACCTGCTGGGAGCCTGAAGGGCCTGCCCTGCTTCTCTCCACCTGGCTTGGGGCGGGGCCTGACAGGCTTCATAAAGGACTGCTACTGCTGCTGCTGGGCAGAGAGGGCTCCGTTTTTGTTTTCTTTTTCTTTTTAAATTGCTTTTATTTTTTATCTATGTTATTTTAAATTGTGATTGATATTAATGCCGTATTCTTAGTTTTAGATTTTATGAATTATGTGGAAATTGTTTTCTATTTGGTTGTGTGCTTTTTAATGTGTTTTATTTATTGTTTATGACTTTTGTTACGTTGGTAATTATGTAAATCTTGTCATGTTGTAAGCCGCCTTGAGAATTGTTTTAACTATGGAAAGGCGGCATACAAATAAAATGATGACGATGATGATGATGATACACTTGTGACATATGACTGTCAAACGTCTCAAAAAAGGACTCAGTTAAACTTAGAA